TTCTAAAAACTAACTTTTTGCCATTTTGTAATAGTAAAAAATATAAGAAGTTCNGGGGTTGAGAGATAAAGTGGATAGTGTGTATTTCCAGTAGGGTCGAACTTCATGACGATGTTACTTATTATAAGTATTCACAATTTTTTTTATAAACACCATCCCTATTCTAAAAACTAACTTTTTGCCATTTTGTAATAGAAAAATATAAGTTCTTAAAGTAAAATATCATAACAAACAGAGTTACCAAATTTTGCCTGAAAAATTAACCAACTCCTTGCTGAAGTTTTTTAATTAGTGATTAAAGCGTTTATATATTTGGAAGACAGAATAACGAATATGTCTGAATAGGCTACACAATAATAACATAATGTAAAAAATCAAATATTTATTTTACAATTTCTTTATTTGTATGAAAGAATCGTTTTAATTAATGGCATGCATCAGTGTAATGCATAATATTTACTGAAAGTGGCAACGAGATAGAGAGTCAAACATGGTGTCATCATGCTTTCAATGAAATGGCAAGTTGAATATAGAGCAATATTTCTCCGGAATCTACGAATGCCAGCAAATACCAGTCTTTACTAGATATGCCGTTTCATTTAAAATTAGGAAATTGTTTCGGTTATTTCAACAGCACACACCAATATAAACACAGTTTACTCAACATTTTGATNTAATATTTTAAACCGTTTGATTTTTGCATTAAAGTTTTTTTAATTGATTGATGATTGATTCAATCAACTAATTTGTTGATTGTATTAACTTGATTCTTTAGATATTGAAAATTAAATAAATAACATTACGTTAATTTAAGCGTAGAGAAACGTTGCTGTTGTTCGAGCAAAGATCTTATTTTCACTTTACCGAGTGCCTAGTAGGTAATTCGCAGATTACCTAGATAATCTGCAGATTACCTAGGTAATTTGAGAAATGGAATAATTTTCGCAGCTTTAACCTATCACCCTAGTTAATCTGCAGATTAGCTAGGTAATGTACACATTAACGGATTTCGAGCTTTAGCGGTAACATATATACTAAAATTAAATTTTTAAATGTTCTTATCGCTGTTGAACACTGAAAACGTAAGTTTTTATAAACAGTTAGCTGCTGACTCATTTAGAATCTTATCTGTTAGTGTGAAAGTGTGTCTTTATGAAAGTAATAAATAACAACAATCATAATGTAATAACTCCAATAACAATAAAGATGTTCATAAAGTATTGGGTGTTATTATAATTTGTGAACGCACTGTATAACAAACCAGTAAATATAATAATTAGTCGAACTGCGTCATAAACTAACTTTGTTTCGTATTAAATTTATGATATTATAAAATATAATAAATGTTCGAATATTATCTTACCACCAGATAAAGAAGAAGTCTTTCCATGTGTAAACGAAGTCGAATCAATTTTCAGTGGTTTTCTTCTGTTTTTCCATTTTTTCACTAACATATACATCAACACAACGGAAGTAATAAGTAAACTTAAAATAATTCGTAATGAATTTAATATAAACATTGTTAATATATTCTTTAGCCTGCAGATTTAAAACTGATTCGTAATAATCACGCATATAACTTTATATCTATCTAACTGTAAAAGAATAAAAGAATAACCATTGAAAAACTTAAATCAGAAGGAATTTTATGACACGTGATCTATAATTTGCCAATCATAGAAATTCACAATGTTACTACAACAATCCCGAAGTGATGCAATTATTTGTATTCCGCTTTAAAGTTGTTCAAGGATTTCGACTACTTACATCACACTTAATTTAAATAATAATCTGCGTGTATTTTAAAACTTATTATATGGAAACCATTTCTTGTAATTTTATATTCCCATTTGATTAGAGAACATTAAACGTTTAACAGATTAAGATTTGTTAAATGCCATCCTAATTATTGTTACAGTTACAGTCATTTGAGATGATGAAGATACTTACTTCAAAAGTTTACTCTAAAGGCAAAACACCGACTTTAAGATAATATTTGGCTTTCATTATGGAAAAATCCGAACAGAGGCGAATTCTACGTCAGTAAATACACGAAGAACGTGCTTTATAGAAATTTCAAAGAATGAATGTATTTCTCTGTTTGAAATTGCTAATTTATAAAAATTAACTTAAATTAGTAACGTATATAACGTAATTATTACAGTTTGAGTGAATATAAGAATCAAGACATTTCAAATATATCATTAATAATAGAACTTATCATTTCATTGATGCTCACGTAAACAATTCAATTTCATTAATAGAAATGCTTATACAAGAATGGCGAAATTAATTGTAATTGCCAGTTTATTTATATATTGAAATTTGTATAACGTTTGTTCCGTTTTATATTCGATAATCAACAAACAAAACATGAATTATTACAATTGATTCTGATTTTTCATCACCCTTAAATTCATGTTTAAATGTAGATAGGAGATTAAATTAATTTAAACAACACTGAAATTGTTTTAATAATAGGAAATTATGCAAACTTGTTAAGCATAATTTTTACTTTTGATTTTAGTATAAATAATGTCAATGCGTCAAGCGATTAAATTCCTATTTTTACGAAAAATAGTTATAAATAAAATTTATAANCTAGGGGTTGAGAGATAAAGTGGATAGTGTGTATTTCCAGTAGGGTCGAACTTCATGACGATGTTACTTATTATAAGTATTCACAATTTTTTTTATAAAAACCATCCCTATTCTAAAAACTAACTTTTTGCCATTTTGTAATAGTAAAAAATATAAGAAGTTCTTAAAGTAAAATATCATAACAAACAGAGTTACCAAATTTTGCCTGAAAAATTAACCAACTCCTTGCTGAAGTTTTTTTTATTAGTGATTAAAGCGTTTATATAATTGGAAGACAGAATAACGAATATGTCTGAATAGGCTACACAATAATAACATAATGTAAAAAATCAAATATTTATTTTACAATTTCTTTATTTGTATGAAAGAATCGTTTTAATTAATGGCATGCATCAGTGTAATGCATAATATTTACTGAAAGTGGCAACGAGATAGAGAGTCAAACATGGTGTCATCATGCTTTCAATGAAATGGCAAGTTGAATATAGAGCAATATTTCTCCGGAATCTACGAATGCCAGCAAATACCAGTCTTTACTAGATATGCCGTTTCATTTAAAATTAGGAAATTGTTTCGGTTATTTCAACAGCACACACCAATATAAACACAGTTTACTCAACATTTTGATGGATGGTATTCAAGTTATGCATTCACCATCCGAAATTCCGAATTTGGTACTTATAAAAAAACGCATGAAAAGGGGGATTTATAGTACAGAATTGCGGAGATTACAGAAGTACAAAGATATTGTCCCACACTATAAAGATTTAGGAAAAAACTGTACAAAGACAAATTAGGTGGTAAATCTGAGATTGAAGAAGAACAGTTTGGCTTTTTGCTGGGAAGGACTATGACTGATGCTATTCTTGCTTTAAAACAGGTAATAAAAAGGCACAGGGAAATGCGGAAAGATTTGCACATGGTGTTCATAGATCTAGAAAAGGCCCATGATAGGGTACCGAACAATAGGTATGGAGGTGTATGAGGAAAAAGAATGTTCCAGAGAAATATATTAGGCTCGTCAAGGAAATGTACGAGGGAGCACTACGAGAGACCCAACAATATAAGCACTACAGAAGAATTTTCCATTAATGTTGGTTTACATCAGTAATCGGCCTTTAGCCCTTATTTGTTTGACTTGATAGTAGACGTGTTAGTGTGTGACGTGAAGTGTGAGGCTTCGTGGAGTACACTGTTTGCGGATGATATTGTTCTGTATGAACTTTCCCAACCGAAGGCTGATAAGAAACTGGAAGATTGGAGAAAAGTTTTGGAAGAAAGGGGAAAAGGATTAGCAGAACTAAAAAAGTATATAGGATTCTAAATGCTAGAGATGAGTTTAAATTTCAAAATATTCTGCTCACTTTTGTTGCGAGTTTTAAATATCTTGGGACATTTGTCGAGATGGGAAGTGGATTGAACTCGGAGGTGCAGCATAGAATTTAATGTAGATAGATGAACTTGAAAAGGCTGAGTGGTGTGTTATGCGACAAGAAAGTTAGCTGCAAGCTGAAAGGAAAATTGTATAAATCGGTTGTTGGACCTGTAATGTTATATGGAGCTAAGACATGGGCAAAAACAAAAGCCCAAGAAAGAAAAATGGAGGGGCAGAGATAAAAATGCTCAGATGGATGTGTGGAGTATCAAGGAAAACCAGAATAAGGAATGATTTTGTTAGATGTTTTGTTTAGGTGGGCCCCTAAAGCAAAAAATATTAACAATGTAGGTTGAGGTGGTTTGGCCACGTACAGCGAAGAATAATAATTATGAAGTAAAAATTACGTTGAAAAAAAAATCGGAAAACTGGTAGTAAAATAAAAAAGGGAAAGAAAAAAACGAAAAATGCGTTGGAAACATAAGGTGGAAGAAGACTTAAACCAGAGGGGACTTAAAAGCAAAATGAAAAAGACCTGTTACAGAGAAAAACGCTAACCCTATATAAACATGTCGAAAGGCTAACATACAGAAGAAGAAGAAGAAAAAGAAGAAAAATAAGAAAACGCATGGAGTGAATTGGCTCGAGGTGTATAAGAAACAGGCGAACAATATAAGTCAGTTGATGAACTGAAAACCGCCATTGCATACTACTAAAAAATTCTAATGTGAATACAAAGCAAACCTGATTCAATAATGAGATACAGTTTATAATGTCGGATTTAATGAAAATCGCTTTATTGGTCATTATGAGTACGAAATAATCAATGATTTTAAAATTTTGTAACATCTAATTTCTAAACTTCTTAAAATTCTCGTGATATAAATTAACAATAACATATTTGTGTTGTTAAAATTTGTTAAAGTTGTTATAAAAATTTTTTAATCCATCGTATTTTATGCATCATTTTGTAAAGACTTATGGAAAAATTAAAACAATTTACATTGTACTGAATTTTCCATACCTGTTCAATGCAATGATGTATTCTTCATAATTTTCAGATTGAGACATTAGAGAAATTCCTAATAGTACATCTACATAAAAATAAATTGGTATTAACGTTTTTTAAAAAAAATGTTTTAGAGTAGAGATTAATACCTGCAGCTATGTCCAAAGTGCAACATTTCATCCATTTCAAGACATTAAAAATTTCATTTTGCTGCAGTTTTTTTAGCCTCTCGACTAAGAAATTTGAATGCTCCATGAACACATTTTGATGATTTTTCAGATTCCAAAGATGAAAATATGGAGCTAAATATCTTCTTCTTTTTCTCCAATTATCATCAGGACTTTATTGAATTAAATACAGAAATTTGTAAACAACAACATTTTAACTAAATGTAAAATAATACATTACCTGTACAAAAAACTATTTTTTCCAAACACTGGTATAAAGAAATCGTAAGTAGCATCTTTATTGATAAAACTGTTGCTTTTTAGAACTTCCTACAAAAGGCAATAAATTTTTATTTATAATGAACATATTACATAACTATGTATTATTCATTACCTTTGCAGTTTCCGGATGTATGAAAAAAATCATTTTATATCCAAATATGTTCATGCATACAACTTTCTCTTTTGGATATAATGTAGAGAGTCCAAGCAGTAGATTTGAAGTAACTTCATAAAGAAGAAAAAATAATTTATATATTCATAAATAATAAAATTTCTCGATAAAAGATGATAACATACTTATGCCTCCGTTCCATTTGTAGTATTCTCTGTCACGTGAAAGAAATAAACTATTCCACAAAAGTGGTAAAACGGATATAGATGGAAGTTTTTTCATTTTCATATCTTGAACATTTTTTTCATTTTTTCGTAGATTCTTATCTGTTATTAAATAAAAGTAAATATCAACTTTGCATCTCATTTTGCGTAGTACCTGAACGTTGTCGGTTTGGATTGAAGTTACACTGCTAAATGAAAAATATGCTAAATGTAATTATTACTTGCTTTATTAGAACTGAAAAGTTATCAACTTTGTTATTTTTTATTTGTTGTTGACTAGTTTCCAGGGCCTAATTAATTTTTGCTCGGAAAATGTTTAATGTATTGTTTTGTATATTAAATAATTATTTCCACTTGAAAGAAAATTTGACAGCCAAAGAAATTGCCGGGAAATAACTGCAGTAAAATAAATACTTCCAAAACTGTGTTTTTATTGAAAAACTCTATAAAAAAGTTAAAATAATCATAAAATTCTTTTATTTGAAAAATATAGCTGCAAGGATTGTTATTTTTTGATTTGACACAGAGCGAAAATTCACATGTGCATTCTACATTGTTTACAAACTGATTGACCTTGAGAACAACTGGTGACTGATTTTTCCAGGAAATTTATATGTACTGTACCTTTCTGGGGAAGATTGGTTTAAAGCAGGCAGGAAACCAATTTACCACATCTATTCAAATATAACACAAAATTTCCAATCTATATGCTGTTAAAATACAGGAGGGCGAAAAAAGTATATATAAAAAATTCTAGTAAATAAACAACAAAAAAATCGGCTGATGTCATAAAAAACAACCAATAGTATTTTTTAAAAATTTTACAAAAATCAAATCTGTCCTGTAAAAGTTAAGAATGATTTAATTTGATTTAACACTAGTTGCTGAGCATATTAATATCTCGTATGATTATTATCTAATTATTAGTGTTGCAACGAATAGTATATTCGGCCTCAGGCCGAATACCGAATATTTGGCCAAACTATTCGGCTTGATTAACGCACGTACGAAAATTGGCGCGCAAACCGCATTATGGCAAGGATCCTGCTCTCTATTGGCCCGCTGTCACTACGCTTCGCCAACCGCGTTAATTCTTGACAGTTGTAGCGGACAGACAAGAACGTCATGGCGATATGTGATAAATGATGATATCAAATGTGAATAACAATGAAATGACCTACCTGTGTAAAAAACGGAAAAAAAAAACAGAAGGACCACGAAGTGAAAATGTGAAAATAAATATGAAATTGAGTCGATAACATAA